TACAAAGGTGATTAGTCCATCATCTGCTACAACTTATCTTAAAGGTGTGAACCTTTCTATAAAGTCATAAAATATATCAATATCAACCTTATAATCTGTTGTCTAACACTATTGATCCCCTAATCAGTCTGTCTCCTGCTGTCTGCACACACAGCGCTGTCACAGAATCAGATCAGCGCTGTAACAATGATAGACCAATGGGAACCTCTCCTCTGCACCGGTCTGTCTCTCTCTGACCCTCTCCAAACTGCTCTGAAAGGTCCCATTGTCTTTGTCCTGGATTGAACAACTCACTCAGTACTTTTCCTCTGAGCCCTTAAAACTTGGCTTGAATAACTGGAATGTGATTAGCTTTGCTTGCGTATTATTTACTGTATTTAGACTTCTTGTTTTGTTTTGTTTTATGAATGAAGCTGACTAAAAACAGAACTTATGAATATCTATTGTGAGCATTAACAAAGTCTAAATTGTAAGCCCTGCATAGTGATTCTTAGACAAAAGCTGGTAATAAAAGAAATATGTTGGCATCTTAGTGAAATTATGTACTATCCTATCACAACTTTAAGCGTCTTCTAAAGTACCAGATCATTGCAATCTTAATATTACTTGTTTCATTTCCTTTATATTTGCATATGCTTTGTCATTTTTGTTATCATGACTGGCTCCTTATATAATATAGAAGAGCAAACAACAGAAATGTCCACACCCCAGCCAGTGTATTTTTCGGTATGTGCCAATGTGCTCAAGCCTCAGATTCCAAGCCTTCTTAAGCCTGTGGCCCCTGTCCCAGTCCCACCTCTATGCACCTCTGCGTACCCTGTCATTTTCACCCTCCTAACTTACAGTCAGACCAAGTTCAGTTACAGCTCTAAGGAGTAATCTTAGAGGAGCAGTGTTTTCTGTCATTGGAATATTCCTACAGCATGGAAACTATACTAAGTGTATCTTTGTAAACACATTTGAAAACTATGGCTGTATTTGAAGACTTGCCCAAAGCGGCCACTCTGCCATCTCGCTCGTGTGGTGGGACCCCAGGCACCGGACGCCTTCACCGGAGAATGGGTTTGCCCAAAATGGAGGACTTCACCTTTGATAGTTTTGAGATGCTTTACAGTGGAACAGTGGACAAGATCAAGAGTCATAAAATGAACCTTAACATCAGTAAGTGCAATATTTAAAGGTGCATTGTGTAACTTTTCTGGTGGAGGGTCCATCAAATGGAATTCATGGAGATGTTATTACTTTGTTTGGAATGTTTCACAGTATGGTATTAAACATGTCTATCTTCATGGAGACCAAACCTGACCAAGTTACAGGTCAGATCTGTGGAAAGGCGACCCTGATCACAGTCAGAATGCCTGATTTTCTATGTATTTTTGAGCTGTAAAAGAACCTCTAATTGAATAAATGTGAGGTGGAGCTGTTTAATGTCATACTGTGGAACATTCCAAGCAAAGCAATGATGCATACATAAAAACAAGCAGGTGATTGACCCTCCACCAGTAAAGTTACACAATGTGTCATTGTATATTAATAAACTGGAATGGTTTGCTGTATAAATTACTAAAATTGTGCCCTTGTGACGTACTTTTTTCTTGTATGGTTATAAAGGATAAGACTGATGAATCTGATGATGAAAACTGATCTGACTGAAAGTATCTTTGCTACTCTCTGATTCTTTTAATTGACTGTTGGAAATAAACAGCCAATTAAAAAGTGATTGAGTTGAATTTCTGTTAGCAATGACTAAATATATTTCTTTATTACACATTTTGCCATTGGTCAGTTCCAAAAGTTTCTGAAAAGAATTGTTTTCCTTCAGTTCTAGGCTCAATATATTTGTAGCCATAAGGTGAAAATATTGAATGTTTGATAACTGGACAGTGCAGAAATAAAAAAAAAAAAAAAACTCTTCTGGTAGGCCCGTGAGAGTTATTGCAGCTGGGAACACTCCTATTTGATCTTTTAAACTTCACTTTTTAAGATTTTTTCCCAATAATCAGTTTGAGAGTTGGTAGTTGTTTGTAATGGTGTCATGTCATGGCTTGGCCTTTGGTTAATCCTGTCTCACAGTGTTGTGGACAAACATTCGTCTTGGCGAATGGCGTGGACAGTCCGGTGCTACCGTAACCCAGAGCCATGAGCTATACTTAGATGGTATCACAGTAATTTTAGCCACGGACCAGGGCAGCGCTGTTGTTGACAATGTAGTGGCAGAGGCTGATGTTAAACTTCTGTCTGTGTATAAGTGTATTACGCAACTCAACTAATCACAAGTTTTTTAAGGTGGAAAATTGTCCACATGTTTTTCTTTCTTTATTGTTTTTGTTTGAAATGTATTGATGATTTATGTAATTGGCTGAAAGAGTTTTCATGTATGAATCATTTTGAGAGTGGGTGGTTGACAGTCTACTCAGATTTATGTGTCTTTGGCTGAGAATAGAAAATAAAATCATAGACTCAATTACAAGTTAATTTGGATATGTACTTAAAAAGACATATTGCTGTAGTGTGCCTGGACTCCAAATATAATTCTAAAATTACAAAAAAAAAAACACAAGGGGGCTACAATATTGTCCAGTCTCCATCTATATTTGAAAATGAATACTTCTCAGATTTTTAGCTTTGATTTTTGCAATACAATATTTCTATAAGATATATAAGATAAAATAATAAAATATAAGATCCTATAAGATAACATTTCAGTCAGAGACTGCATGCATGAAAATGATCAGCCAACACACATGAGATGCAAGTGAAAGTGCCTTGGCATAATTTATTGGCATAAATCTTTAATTGCTGCGGGCCATTGTGTCGACTTTACCCAGTATGCTTTGTGCCTGGTGCTGTTATGCATTTGTCTAATAGGTTTACAGCTGGTGCAGGACCTCCTGGCACAGACTTCACTAAGCTGCTTAGTCCAGTGCAACCTTTGGCTAGCCTCAAGTGGACTCATACGCACATGATCATATCAGGGTATTTGTTTACCTGTACAAACATACTGCACTTTAAGATAATAATTACATAAAAAAGGATTAGTGGTTCTCAAACTGTGGTATGGGACGCACTTATGATACTCTGGCTCTTTCTATTGATGTTTGGATTCAAATTAATAATTGATTGATTTTAGGTTTAGTTCACATTAGTTTAACCCTAGTCCTGGATTTTAAGACTATTATTCTTTATAAAGTTTTCTAGAGGGGATTCTGACAACTGCATGTTTCCATGGAGCTATTATTCCTTTGCCCAAAATGTTTCACTCTACTCACTCACACTTATTACATTTCACAGAGACAAACAGGCCACCAAGCCTAGATGGAGGTCAGATCTATGGAAATGCAAGCCAGCTCACAGTATTGACACCTGTAGTTGAATAAATGCAAGATAGCTATGTTTAATGCCATACTATGAAACATTCCAGGCAAAATAATGTCTCCATGTCTTCATGGAGACAAGCAATGCACCTTTAGGCCTGATTTAAGTCCAGAATATTCTTTATAGTCTAGATCTGCTTGGTTCTAATTTTGGAGCAGTCCGGCTCTGCCTTTTCCAAACATTATATGTTTTCGTTAGACTTAGGTTAGTTCTTATTCGGTAAATTGTTCTTTCTAATTATACTGACAAGTTAAATATTTTAGTAGACCTTTGCAGATTTTGAGAACCACTGCTGTGATAGATTTCTGCAGAAATGACGGCCTATTCATTAGCCGCAGGGGGCCATAGTAATGAATGTTTTATTAGTTCAAATGGGTTTGCATAAAGGATGCAGTGAGATATGAGATTAGGACAAGAAAAGGGCCAGCACAACAGCCGCGTTATATGAAAATGTTATTCTCTCTTGTTATTTATTTGTCTTTTTTTCACAATTTATCATCAGAGTAAAAGTAAGATTTTAGTTTGTTATTTGTTGCCTTCTCTCCTTCTTGTTGAGCTGTTATTTACTAATTTTGTGAGCTGAATTTGAATTATGTTGATAAAATTGATCTGTCAGACCCCTCTGACCTCTCCCATCTTCTCGTCTGGGGTTGTGCAAATGCTTATAGGTATTTTCATGATTGTCTTTGGGTTTTAATTGTGGCCGGTGCTTAAATATTCATGTGTCCCTTTAGCGAGGACAATGAACTGAGAGGAAATGCTGCTGATGTTGCAGCTTTAGAAAGCGCTGATACCTGAGCTGGGTCTGTTGGATGAGCTGACCCGACAGAAGGAAATACAAGGGACAGGTGAAGGTGAACTGGACAATAATGTTTTAAAATACAATAATACAGAAATTTCTACTTTTACTTTGGTTTGATTAAAGCTCTACTCAGTAACAGCTTGTCTCCATGGATATGCTATTGCTTTGCCTATAAAGTGTCCTTTTATTATTTCAGATTTCCCTTGGAATATCCAATGTCTATTCAAAGAAATGTCTCACAAAGGCTATTGGAAAATAATTGTAGAAAAATTCTGAATGGGAGCAGAACTCCAAAATGCAATTTCTGAATTTTGAATAAAAGATTTAAATGACATTAAAGCTACCATCTGTATGTTTATTAGATTTATTTATTTATTTTTATTTTTTTTACCTGTAGATAGCAGATGTGAAACCTGCCACCCCTCCCCTCACCTGGCCTTTGTTTAGGCTCACCTGTGCTCTCTGGTCTTCTTCTGTCAAACCAAAGCTGGGACATTATCTGACTGCAGTAACGTAGATAGCATCTGGTGGTGTTATTTGAGAATACACCAGGGCTGCCCAATCTAATTACTGATAGTAGCTTTAAGGCTTGTTGTATTTGCACAAAATATTTGAAGACACAACACCTGAAAGGAAAAAATAAACAGAACTATTACGCTTCCTTGGCTTCTGTTCAAAGTTTCATCTGCAATTTCCTCTGTGAGACAAAAGTGAGACTTGGCTATTGTCTTGGTATAAATAGAGTCACTTTTTACGCTCTGACCTATATCACATATTGTTCAGGCTAATTTTAACTTTCTTTTCCTACTGTGTGTTTTCTCAGAGGAGGAGCTGAGGAAACTTCGAGAAGAGACCAATGTCGACTCTATACGACAGGAGCTGGACAGGGAGCGGACCAAGAGACTGGATCTGGAGCAGAAGATGAACGATCTGCTCAAAAACAGGTACAAAAATAAGTCATGCAAGGCAAAATGGGAAATGGGGAAACCAAGAATAATGCTGTTTTAAATTTAAGTTTAGACTGTATGGGTTCAGTAATGTTTTTTAATAGTAGTTCAATGTAGTCCATATTGATACCAACACTTGTAATTGGGCTCTATAAAGCAGCTGTCATTCATTTTATAGAGTCTAATTTTATTTGACATTGTGCCATAGAAATTTTTTATGTGGTAGCACTTTTTTAACTGCTGGGGTACCTGACTTTATTCTTTATATGGTAAAAGCAGTCTTTGTGACTAAATGAGGTCTCTGCAGATAATAATATAGTGAAAAATATCCATTCTAAAGCTGCACACACATCTGATAATGTATACATGTAAATAATACTAACAATGTGACAGAAAAGTGTGTGAGAGCCAGGAACTAGGTAGATACTAGTTAAATGTACTATGTAACATTTTGGTTGCGAGTCCATCACCTAGTTGAGTCTATGGATTGTTCTGCCTGGAATGATCCACAGTATGACATTAAGCAGCTCTACCTTACATTTATTCAGCTCATAAATACCAACAAAAATAGGCATTTTGACTGTGAGGATGTTGCCTCTCCGCAGATTTGACCTGTAACTTGGTTTGGTCTTCATGAAGATTGAAAGGCTTAATAAAATACTGTGAAACATTTCAGACCAAGCAATAACATCTCCATAAAACATTTAACAGACCCTCTATCAGAAATGTGACACAATGCACCTTTAAATCCATCCTTTCTCTTTTTGAAAATCAGGTGCCACAGCTTTAATACATTGTGATGAGCGTCCCAGTCTCCCATAAACAAAGAGTGGTGATACATGGAAATAGACAGCTCAGTAATACCATTGGAAAGAACAGCTGTTGCTGTTTGCAGCAAATCATTTCAGCAAAGATTTTGATGGTTTATATCAGATGGTGTTTGCGTCCATCTCTTTGCTATTCCCTGGGCTACTGCGTGTACAAATATAGACCTTAGCAGCTTGTGATAGGGTATTCCCATTGGAGGTGTGTTTGGGGGTCTTTAGGGAGGTGGAAAGAGTGGCATAGGAGAGCTTGGGGTCAGCCAAAATGCTCAGTGATACAGGAGTCACTGCTATGCGGAAAAATCCACCCCTTTGGCATCACACTGGGGTCTTAAGTGATCAGATGGTTCAATAGCTGCCAATGGGAAATTCCACAGGAGCTCCAAGGCATGACCAGTACACAGTTTAAGAGGGGCTTTATGTCGTAAATGTACGGTATGTAGGTGTTATCTGGCTCTGATATTTTCTCTGATAATGAGAAGAGACAAAGACAGCAGCTACTCTCGCAATAAAGCCTTTTAACATGTTAACTACTAGGTCACTGTGTTGTGGTACCAAGATTTTTTGTTTTTCCAGATTTTTATTATTTTTTATGAAAAAATAACCACTCCAATGATACTGCTTTTGTTTTGACACATTCATGCACTAGTAATTGAATCTATTTTTTTTTTTTTTTTTTTGTACTACTGATGACTCCCTGGTTTAGTTTACTCCTGGTTTAACTAAATTAGTGCTAGTTCTGCCACTGTGTCAGAAGCATTAGTCTTCTAGTATTAATATAGTTATTTGATAGTGCATGAAACAGCTCACACATGAGTCTGAAAGTAGCATAAGGCTGTTAAAATATCTGCTGACTGAGATAACCACAGATCATCATTTAGGTCATTTTGTGTCAGACCAAAGTCACGCTTAGTAGGTCATAAACCACTTCTGCTTTGGTTTTGCCATGTTGTAGATTTTTCTGTGAGTATATCAAGTATATATATTTGTCACGATAATTACTATATGGACTATATTATTCATGTGTATTTTTTATCTTTGCAATGCTGGAAAATTGTTGGTTATTTTTTTAGGTACAATCAGAAAATGGTTTAATTATTAACTTCCATGACTCATTATATATGCAAATTAAGTACTAAAGCGTTTCATTCTGCCTCATGATTTTTTTATGATATTGTAGATTTAGAATAGTTTTGTGGTTTAAATCTGTTCTTGGGTTAAATTAGTAGCATTATTATAGTTCATCATCTATATTTACTTTAGCAATATATCACACTTCAAAATGTGTTACCGTGACAGGCCTATGTATAACTTAATTAAACATGAGCTTTAGATAATCATATTGGGTCAGTTATGCATATGATAATCTTAATAACAGCTGTATTACTTAAACTCTACTGTTCTTCAGCCTCTGTGGTGTTCTCTTCTTTCTTTCACTAGTTACTAATGCATTTTTCATTCTCCCTCTAGTTGTTAGTTTGTACATTGTGGCTCATCTCCACATATTAGCATGAACACTCAAGCTCTGGGGCTGGTAATAAAGAAACTTGATTCATTTGTCATCTGTTTATCCCTTTAGGCTCGAGGACTCTCCACCGCAGCCCCCTCGAAAACAGCAGTCCCCCTCCAACTCCTCCAACAATGGCACAGGTGAGACTTGCCCAGAGTATAACACAAGAAGCAGAGGATAACTGATAACTGATTGTTACTTGATAAAAATGCTAAAATTACTGATTAAACACGTAAAAACACTTTCACTGAGTTCCAACAACTAGCATGCTAACAGCACACTGGCATTACTTCTTGGTTTGCAGCCATTAAAATGCTTTATAATTGAATGCAGATAGAAGTCTTATTTTGCTTTTACAATAAATCTGCACTGAGGCAAAACCATTTTTACTATAAGAAAATAATATATGGGTCTAAGAATTTTTACTGTATAAACTTGAGCAGTCACATATGATAAATTATTACATTTTGTTTGTGCATTCAATATTTCAAAGATGCGAAGATACTAAAACTTGTACTTTGAATACTAAGTTGTTGAGACAAAAATCTACCAGATAACAATACATACAGTTTAAAGGTGCGTTGTGTAACTTTTCTGATGGAGGGTATGTCAAATTCTTTTTTGGAGATGTCATTGCTTTGTCTGGTTACACAATGCACCTTAAAAGTTTTTAATAAAAATGTTTAGGTATAGCAGTGCTAATACATTTTAATAGTGTCTGAATCTCTCCAATATAAAATTTCTCATTTCAAATTTATAGACTTTATTACAGCATTAAAATGAGTTATGTAGAGTTTCTGTAAGAACTTTTTCTACTGTTATATAACACCTGTATAAGTGAGTGAAAAGGAAAAGTCGTGATTGCTGAGGATGGTGGTCGCGTAGGAAGTGTGTGGTGCTGGGATCTGTAGGCATTGTGTCGGAAATAGGGGCTATTCTTGGACAGGGAGCCATGCATGACAGCTAACAGTGTTCCTCCTTACAAAATACAACACTAATATGTGATTATGCTCAAAAGCAGGGCAAATGGTGACTGACAGTGCCTTATTTTGACATGTATATACTTTTTGTTGTTGCCCCATTCGTGTTACTTTGGGACGATGGTGTTTCTGGTAGTTTCTTGACCTATAGTGACCTAGTGAGGGAAGTTCGAGCGCGTAGAAAGAGGAAAAGGACACGGACTAATATTAGAAAATGGGCTACAATTGTAGACCACCTCATCTAGGGCAGACGTGCTGCTGCTTGAATGCTGGAGGTGTGTCTTAAAGGGATACCGTGTTCAAACATTTTTACTTTACACATTTTTCAGTAAAATTAATGTTATTTATTTTGATGAAGTTTTTAAAATACACAGAAGTATCATCTAGTAAAGAAAAAGTGTACTTTGATTGCCCAATACAGCACAAGTTTCAAGGTTTTACTTTTCAATATTCAGTTACATAGTGTCTAGTTCAGTTAATAGCAGAATGATAAAATGGTAAAGGTTTGTCTGGTGGATACGACCTTGTGTTGTAGAGATTAGGCAGTATACAAAGATTAATAATTAACATTTTGGTATTTCTAATTAAATGTACCTATGCAAAAGCAGGCAAAAGAAAAATTACAACATTTTATAATCTAAATGAAAAATATTCTGTCAAGATGCTATGGACATTACAATATGGGACAGAGGCCCAGTGGTTAGAGCTGCGGGTTGAGGGGCCAATGGCGCAGATTGACCAGTCAGTCTGTGCCAGGGCAGCTGTGACTACCATAGAAAATACCACCATTATGGAGTGAATGAATAATGACTGCATTGTTGCTCTTTGAGATCCTGTAAAGTGTATTAGTAAAGTGTAAGGCATTATTATATTATATTATTAATACATATTGCTGCAGACACGTCACTGGTTGAACATGCTAAATCCAATGTTATATCTGTTGTTTGCTCTTTGCAGCAGAGAAGCAGCACCGAGAGGTGTGGAGCTCGCGGCTTCAGAAGTGGCTGTATGAGCGATTTGGGGTTTACCTCGAAGATTTCCGGTTCCAGCCGGAGGAGAGCACCGTGGAGGCAGAGGAGCCGCTAAGTGCTAAAAGGTGGGTGCGGTTCAATACAACATGAAGTGCCTCTCCCAACCGATCGATCAACGGGTTATTAAACTTAAAGAGACATTTAAAGCAATACAGATGTACAGAATATGGTCCTGGTTAGTTTAGACTTTGTTACTTTGATATAGTTTGATCCTATTTGCCTGAATATGGTAGGGTTGTTGAAAGTTCAAAACTGTCAATACTCAGATATTAATCCTTATTTAAACAAAATGCTAATGAAGTATTGGTTCTATAAAAATCACATAAATAGAGCAAAATGATGGTCTTGAACTATACCAAAACTAGTAAAAAACCCCACACATTATCTTATTTGAGTAGTTTGTCATCAAAAGTGGCATTGAGCATGAAGCCTTTTACTTTGTATCAAAAGTTTAGAGTTTTAAATGTTTGTGTTGGTCTTGGTTTTATCCTGATATTGTGCTGTAAAGATTCATCTTTGTTAAATTTTGTGTTTGTTTAATTTCTAAAAATGGTATTAGCTCATAACTTTATAATTTTAAATCTAAAATATGTCTAAGCTTAAGGCAAAACTTTGGCTTAGAACTGCGGCAGTGAAAGGTGGCTGGAGCCTTGAATAGTACATGAAATGCCCAAGTATTGATGTGGATGATCAAACAGATTTGATGCTACAACAGCTACAGAGAGCTCCACAGGTGTACGCTCAATATGCTCATAATATCTGAGGAGCATCAGATTTCAGGACCAAAAATATTTCAAATCAATGCACCATGTACAGAGCAGACATTCATAGCATTATAATGAGAAGATTAATTCTAATTTTCTCCTCAAGTCCAGCAGTATGAGTCATACAAGGTTACACCACAATCAGTTTTATTCTACATGTTCTAGGTAAAAAGAAAGGAAAAGATCAAAATTAACTCCCATGCTTGACTAAACAAAAGCAGGGGAATTTCAAGAAGAAAAAGACACATTTTTCATTCATTTTGCAAAGCTCTAACAAAATTGCACACAGCTTGCGGTATACAGTTCATACATTCACCACAAACATGAACCAATTAACTCCTCTCTGAGTATGATGCAAACTGCTTCAGAGATGATATCAGGACTATACCAGTACTAATCTTGAACAGAACAGGACTAAAGCAGGACTAAAATGTGGTTCTCGTTTATTTTATTTTCTATGAAAAGGTATGAGTCATGGAGGTATTGAAGGCCTGCGTTGCACACCTCCACTGCTCAGTTTTATTGTGTATGTCTCCCTACGTCTGTTCTGACCTTCACTTTTTCTTCCTCTTCCTCTGCAGGTTGACAGAAAATATGAGGCGGCTAAGTAAGTGCATAAATACTTTTTCAGGAAATATTCAGTCCTGTACAAAAGATTTATTTTAGGTTAACGATGGCCCATATCTCAGCCCTTACACATGTTTACGTTTGTTTGTGTTCCAGAGCGAGGAGCCCGACCCGTCACAAATTTTTTAAGGAATCTTTCAGCCTTATCCAATTGGCACTCTGTCTACACGTCTGCAATTGCCTTTATTGTGAGTATTTCACATATAAAATGTATGCAGTATGAACTAACTTGTGTAAGACATGTGGTACTGTTAGCCTCTGTGCCCTATGTCCCTGTAACAACAGTAACTGTAATAAATAGCTGTGTAAAGTCTGCAATGACATTACTGCACACTGCCCGGGCACCTCTGAATCACACTTGGCCTTCTGATTGAGCTTTGATGGAAAAGGCCAAAGCCATCAGCTCAGACCAGAGCTGATTGAGCTGTGAGTTTACTGCAGCCTGTAGTACTCTCCATCTCCACTGGATCTGTTTATATCTATTGGAAGTATAGTCACTGTATTAGAAAGACGTGTTGAATATTACATGTTATTTAAACAGTATCTCTGTCTGCAGATCTACATGTATGCTGCTTGGCATGGCTGGGCCATTCCCATGTTCCTCTTCCTGGCCATCCTGCGTTTGTCTTTGAATTACCTCATTGCCAGGTAAACCCACTCCTGTGTTTATGTACCAAGTGCAATGACAAGGAATGACAAGAAACAACATTGTACTATTTATTGGACAAAAGCTGTATTTTACCATTTTAATACGTTTTTACCACATCTATTCTAACTTTTCTGATTTACATTTACTCCCAGTAATTTATTTTCACATGTAAATAACACTGTAATTCCTCTAATATGACTATGAAAAAGGGTGACGAACAAGGACAACATACAAAACAGCTGATGCATTGTCTATAGTACACTGTGTTACTTTAATGTAGTTGTTTGACTGTTTGTAACCTGTTAAAATGCTGATCTTGTTTCTTTGTCCTCTTGTTCCTGTTTTAGAGGCTGGAGAATCCAGTGGAGCATTGTGCCTGAAATCTCTGAACCACTGGTGAGACCACACCCCTTTGTCCCTCTGCTCATGTGACCTCTGACCTCTTACATTGTATTTATTTTATATCTGTGAATGTAATTACAGCAGGAGCCGCCAAAGGAAGACCTCACAGTGTCAGAGAAGTTTCAGCTCGTATTAGATGTTGCACAAAAAGCACAGGTACTTAAACCATAAATGTATTCATTTATACACTATCACCAAAATCTATGGAATGGGGCAGAGTGGGAAATTAAAATTTTAAACTTAATCTGGATGTTTTAGAGTGGGTAAGGTTAATGTATTTAATATATCCTACAAAAGCCAGTTACTGACGTACAAGTCATGTGTCTGTATTTGAGTAATGAAAATAGATGTGTGATATGTTTAAAGGGCGGGCATTATGCAAATCATTTCTTATTTTTTTATGCCTGAAAAGGTTTTGAATGTTGTTCTCCATGCATCTTTGAACATTTTATCAATCTCTCCTGGGCTCTATTCAAACCCTCCTCATGGTTAGCTGTAAGATTCTGTCCAAATGCTCAGCCCACAAACCTACATCATGCCCCCACGCGACATGTCTCCATAAATACAGAAAAACATGATTCTAAACTGTACACAGCAAATTGATGAGCCTTATACAGTGCGCAGTAGTTTCATTAGTGGGATGCATGCTGATTGTGTTGTGATAGTGCTCTGAAGGGGGAGTAACCTAATGTGGGGAGCAAAGGGAGGGGAGACTGTCAAAAATGAAAGTGAAACATGTTAATACGTTGTTTTTGGGGAATATGGCATTTTAATAAATTTTAATAAAATACCTCCTCTTTAAGGCAAGAATGTAAGGAACACAGATAGTGGTTATGTAACACATTGGGGTAATGACTTAATATTTTGACACTGCAACTGTTTTCCTTGCAGAACCTATTTGGTAAGATGGCAGATGTTTTGGAGAAGATAAAGAAGTAAGCCACCATAACTTCAAGTGAAAATAAAAACATCGTTATTTAGAAGTAGAATTAATGTATTTGTTATTTTGCAGCTTGTTCATGTGGGTTCAGCCTGAGAGCACCAGGAAACTTTACATTTGTTTGTGGATTGCGTTCATCACCTCCTGTGTCTTCCCATACAAGCTAATGGGCTTCATGATGGGTAAGAGACAAGGTGTCTGAAATGCTTAGTTCAATGAAAATTGGACAAATAAAAGCTTTCATCCCCACTTATGTAACTGCCAAAGAGTCTCAATTGTTCTGCTTCTATTCACTGGGTCTTGTTTGTTACACAAGTTTGTCAATAATATCTTTGCCCTTGATGTTTTCTAATTGAAGTTGTTTTAGAAGCTTGCAGTAAAAGATGTAAACAGTTCACAGAAATGTTCTCACAAAAGCAAGACAGAGACAATAATGGGGCTTTCAGATAAGTCCTGCTTTGAGGCCAGTTTAGTCCTGATGTAGGCTTGGTTTGGTCCTGTTATAGTCCTGGGTCAGTCCTGGGCTAGTCCAGGTTTGGTTCTGGGTTTAGTCCAAAATTGTATTTGCGTGTACCTTTTGTGACTATTACTTCATAGCTTTTGAAACTATTTATTTATTCATTACCCTGCGCATAACATTTAAACGTCCTTTTTTACATTATTTTTGTGCTTGAAGTCATGTTAGAATGCTGTTACCACCTCAAAAACAAACCTGAAGTTCTGCTTTGTTTCATTCAGACATTTGAGTAACCATTTATTATTAGTCTACATCTCCAAAGCTCAAAATGCTCTGTTCCACCTTGTGATGTCATGGGGTAATAGAAGAAGTGCTCGAATGCCTTTTTAAACTCGATACACGTTCACTAGAATTGTTTGGATCATTTCTGCTCTGGAATTGCTGATCTCAACTGAACAAAAAGTACAGAGCATTTTGAGCTTTGGAGAAGAACTCAGCGTATATATACAGGATTTGTGTGTTTTAAATGTGTGAATGAAACAAAACACAACAGTATAACATAGATCAGAAAATAGGGGCCCTTCAACTGTTAACTCAAAACATAATAAGACGTCACAGCTACATATACTGTAGCCTGTATTATACAATTCTTGCAAATATTTTAGACACCAATGCAAATTCATCTTGTTAATGGACATTTGCCAGCTGCCATTGTCCTTCAACTATTCAAAATATTCCCTTTCAACGTGAAACATTTTAATTAAGTTTTTAAGTAATTAAGTGGAGAAGGACAGAGCTGAGCCAGTCATAATGTGTTTGAATTCAATCTACCAAATGAGTGTACAAAGCATTACACATAATAAGGCCATTATAAAACTGTTATTCAATATAGATTGTGTCTGTTGTGTCTTTCTCAGGTCTGTACGCTGGGATTAAGTTCTTCATCATAGATTTCTTGTTTAAGAGCTGCCCAAAACTGAGGGACAAGTATGACACACCTTACATTGTGTGGAACAGCCTCCCCACAGACCCCCAACTCAAAGAGAGGACTAACGCCACTGTGTCCAGACGGGTAAGCAAAATACATATTATTATATAATATCTGATCTACTATCCAAAGTTTTCACAATGATAACATATTAGAATCATTGCCATACTGTTTAACAGTTTGAAACAAAATTCTCTCTATATATATATCAAATAGGAAAGGTCAAATGAAAAGCATGTGAAAACTATCAGTTGGTTAATTATAAGGCTTTATCAAAAAAACAATGGCATTTTCTCATGTTTAAAATCCTAAAAGTGGTTCATTTGATTTCATTTATTTTTTTCTTACTACTGGTCACCCTAATCTCAGTTTGAAAAGGTAGATGCAATGTCACAGTAAGAAACTATTACTTACATTAATGACAATGCTAGGATATTTATATACGTAGTTATTGTATGTCAAACTGTCTGAGCATTGTAATTGTGAAATATTTCTTAATTGTTATACTTGTTTATTATGACTTGATTAACGCACATTCATTAATACAAATACAAATTAGGACTTGGCTGTAGGTTCTATTGCGTCATTGAGTCAATATAATATCTCTCATTAAAAAACAAAATGGTTTGTGCGTTCTTCTTAAAAGTCCGGGGGATGATGTAATGTTTTTCTTCAACAATCTACAGAGTTGTCATGGAAACAATAACTGCATTTCACAGAGGTCAAATTAGTGCATCGAGCAGAGGAATCATAATTATTAGATTAGGAGGACATTAATTTGACAGATGAAGTGAGATAAACATAAGAAGTCGTATGCAACAAATGAATCAGTAGGAGTTGGGGAAAAGTACCAGCAGAGACAGAAACAAAGCAAAGTATAAATACAGTAAAATTAAACTGAACCATGAAGTAAAAAGCATGTCCAAATCCAATTAAATGAGACAAACATGACACAGGTCCAACATGCCCAAGAAAAACAAGTGTCTATTCTTATATCTGTCACATATATAGGCCCTCTTTATACTATTATTCAGTCTGTCTGCCTCCGTGGTGTTAGGTGCTGTAGGTCACACAGTGCTTGATGTTACCAGGGGTCTATCACCCACCTCTGTGCCCCCTGCGGAGAGTCCAAGTATAAACTACATCAATAGTTTTAAATGCCTCAGGCTCTGTCAATAAAAGTCTGACACTGGCCTCAGTATTAAGACCATTGTATATGGTTAGCTTAAGGGCTTTATATACTTGCACTGCTGCTACCAGTAGGGCTATCCAACATATTGAAATTGAATATGACAATATCGAATTAGTTGGCATTGCATCATTATCATTATAAAATATGACTACAATTATTTAGATAACAAAGTGATGAAAATATAGAAAAATATACTGTATCTTTTAGTTTAGACCTCTACAAAAATGTTCTGAAACATTTTGGATTCTTTAAATCGTCTGAATAGTACTTTTCTCTCAAATACTAACTCTTATTGTTATTTACAATGTGCTACCTGAACAAAAGTTAACTGAACTTTTTAAACATATTGGGCCTTAGCTATTACTGGTGCCTCTGGGAAGAAAGGTTCAAGGGGACCAATGCGACACAATATGATACAATTTTGTCTTCTTTATTATTATAGCATTCTGACACTACAGTGTTACTTTTCATAGTAGATGGTTGGTTCAGGGGTAAATGCTCTGTGCCATGAAGCTCAACAGTGACCACCCACCCCTCAGTTCCAGAAGTAAATTTCTCATTAATTTTTTCAATAGACTTTCCAAAAAAAATATTATGAAAAGTTTGAAAGCTAGCTCAGGGCTAATCAGCTATGTGGTAATTAATGACCACAAGACCTGTCATTTTTATTTAATCTGTTTCTGAACCTCCAGGTTGACTTAAGATTTAAATGTGCTTTTGGACGTAAAACAACTATGTTATGGGTATTAGTTACCACATACCTGGTTAACATCTGTGATGTCTTTGAACTTGCAATACTAGATTTTTTTTTAAATGTCTATGGGAAAAATGAATGTAAAAATTTATTTCCAGAACAGGAGCAGGAGGCCACTGTTGAGCCCCATGTCAGGGGGCTGTAGTTTATATGTTGTGCGTATGTGTTGTGCTTGTGTGAGAGTTTGTGTGACCTAGAGTGACCTTGTGCTCGTCTCTCTCTCTCAGCTCTCTGGCGTTGAAAAGGTAGGGTCTGCCTGTGCCTGGTGTGCTCTGCTCACCTCAGAACTGCCAGTGTTTGACCCAGCAATGGATCAAAATGTCACCCTTCATTGCCTTTTTTAATGCATAAACATTTTTATATTGTTAAGTATGTTTTAACTGAACTAAGTTGACATTTTGAATCCATTACCATAGATGCTCTGCAAAGTAGCACCGTGTCCAATGAGTAGAAGCTTAGTCTAGTCAGTCAGTATGTACTGTATAATAGTGCCCCCTTTCTCCCTTTGCACTCTTAGATGAACAGTGAAATCAAATTGTTGAAAATGTTTTATCCTGTATTTATGTATATTTTAGAAAGATGAATTGTTTAAACATGTCTGCAAAATGTGCATCTACAACTAACACAGTACTCATGCAATTTGGAAGAGTTATGCCTGAAAATATAAGATACTGTTTCGTCCATGACATTAAAGTAGCAGGGCCAGTATTTTCCCATAATATTTAGGTTTCCCCTTTAGTGACACTTGTTGCCTCTGCACCTTGGGAATATAAATAAGGATTGAGTCAAGCCAGTGGTCTGAACTAACTAAACAATGAGGTTATGCTTGTGCAGTGAAAGACCCTGATCTCTCACAAACTAATTCTTCATGGATGAGTGAATGAAGGCCCCACTCTGCTTTGCACGTGCCACCTGAGTCTGCTGCAGAGATGTGAAAACAGGGCCAATTTTAAAGCACTGCAAAGGGATGTCATTTATAAACACATAAATGCACCAACTGTCTGCCCCCCTCTCTCTCCATGACTTTTTGTGACCTTTTCCCCTGCGCTTCCTCTTCCTCTTTGGTGTGCCGTGTAGATTCAGCCGGTGGCGTCCAGAGGAAGCCTCGCTACTGTCCCCTGTGGTGTGAGCAGAGAGGAGGAGACGGGCCGGTCCCACAGCACCAAGAAGGGAGCCTTTCATGAGGTCTTTAGTCTGCCGGAGTCAGAGCGCCCTCTGGCAGGTGAGTGGCTGCACTACAAGTCTGTTGAAACTGCAGTGTTGAAGTACTGTCACACCACTGAGCAATAATTTCACACAGGAAATTACTGGTCATCAAGCACTTGTTATGTTTTCAACAAAGTGGATTAGTTTTAAGTATAATAGAACATTTGTGTTTTATCAGCCTAGTTTTTTGGAGCTACGATGATGAGAACAGCACTGAGCCCTCCATGAGTGAAGCAGCCAAGTCTACTAGACAGAAAAATTACTTTGAACTGCAAAATGAGATCAATTAAAAACGAAAGCCTTTTTGTCAGACAATGGATAAATTGCAGTGTCAAAAAGCACAAAAAGGCCAAGGCAGCAGTAGAACAGTAAAAGCACAATCAACACTGAACTTTATAATGGCTCTAAATAAAATTGAAAACAGTGCATAGTTGTTTCTTGCAAATTAGGCCACATGTAGTCCTATTGTTATGCCTGATTGGTGTAGTCATTATTTTACCTTGGGCTTGCTGATCCTAGAGAAAAACAAAAAGACTTTGTTTGTTTGTATAGATTGATTTTCATGTTTTTCCTCTTCCTTTCTTGTCTACAGTCTGTGAGAATGGCTGGAGGTGCTGCTTGATAAACAGAGACAGGAAGATGCCCACAGACTACATCCGCAACGGTGTCCTCTACGTCACGGAAAAGTGAGAAACATTCTGATTTATTCCTAAAAATTATAATTTTTTCCAAAGCCACCTTCAAAAGCCTCTCAAAAATGTCAAAACAAACTAGTCTACTGCAGCACTGAAATTCTTAGAAAATACAAATATGAATCCTGGGCTGCATCTCTGTGAAAAGACTTTTAAATATCAACTCTTTGACATTTTGTTCTGAAGAAGTATTTTTTTCTGTCTGTGTCTCGCAGCTATCTGTGCTTTGAAAGCTCCAGCTCAAGGGCAAATGCGTCAAAGAAAAACAAAGTGATCAAACTGGTCGATATCACCGACATACAGAAGGTAATTCATTCTTCGGGTACTTTCTACCATGACGATAGTTCAGTATCAAATGCTGTATTTTTATTTTTATTTTTTTATTGCTCTTTTTAGTATAAAGTGCTGTCAGTGCTGCCAGGAAGTGGGATGGGCATCTCTATAGCAACACCCTCCACACAAAAGGTACTGTACCAAAATTAAACGGCAAAAAGTTGATATAATTAACAGAATTATGGTAAAACAATGGTTACATGGGCAGGAATATCAGAATAGCCCCTGGTCCCTTTGGCTATATTTTTATTTTGAAATTTCAAATAATTTTATTCTTGGATTAGTAAGTAGATTTTTAGACATTTCTTAAGTGGAATCCATAAAGCAAAGTAAATGAGGATGGTGTAAAAGCAACTTGTTGTAGGAGCAGACTAGCAATCAGTGTATTTATAATTACTGTACTTTCACATTATTATCATATAATTTGGCCTCTCTTAACTTCATGTTTTTTACTCTTTCTCACAGTGTTGCTTAAATTAGGGAGACGGTACCACCAATAAATCATTAAAACTGATTGGAATAACAGACTGAATATTTTGTGGATACTAACCGAATTGTGAATATGCTACTTATTCCTTTCAAAATGCCTTGACAAGCCTTTTGGACTGTATTATTGTCAAAATATAAAGGATTAAGATTTAAAAGTGTTTAACAACAGTTATTTCTTCATGTACTCTGCACTGAAACAGATCAAAAGGTCATGGTTCATGTAGTTCCCTTTGTTTTTATTTTATTAATATTTTTTTTTAATCTAAGCCAAAATAATGACTTTAAGCAACTTGATATATTGTGATGATCCACAATATTATTGTTAGATTTTTGACGATACAATATCACAATATTTTGGTTAATGTTACATCTCAAATCCCTAATCCCCAAATTTAAATACCCTGAAACTGAAGGTGAAGATGAAGATAAACATACTATAAACTACTATAAACAATTTGAGATGTTCCTGAGTAAATACTAGATTAATCTGTATAATGAATCGCTAATAACTCACTTTTTTCTTTAGCCATTGGTGTTTGGTGCCATGATCCATCGAGACGAGGCGTTCGAGGCCATCTTCACTCAGTACATGAAGATAATGACGACGAGCAAACCACCGTCCAGCGCTGAACTGTAGGCTACTGTCGTCATAGCAACTGACTAAATTCACTATGAAAGGGTCTGTGGTGTAGACCCAACGCCTTTTAAAGGTTCAACTGCACTGGAAGATACCTATCACAAGCCCCTCCCAGTCTTCTGTCTGCCTCCAGCTCTGATTGGCTGATTTCCACTTGTGGGAGGAGCTACAGTGAATGATACGCTGGTTAGCTATTGGGGTTTCGGTACTGGTCAAGTCTCTACTACGAAGTGGAGGACTTTGAAATTGTTTTATCATTGGGTAAAGTTTAAAGAGGAGGCTGGTACTCTTCTGAATGACTGAAAAACTTTGCCCGCTGCTATGCTAACCGCGTCCCTGTGTCTGCATGTGTTGTGTGTGCGTCTAGTGGCTATGTTTTTGTACTTTATGGTCCTGGGGGAAAGAAGATACACATAATTATAATATAGGCAAGTGGAGATAGGGCTGGATAATAAAAAAAAAAATACTTTTTTCATATTGTTCAATGTCTTTGTGTGATTTAAATGTGCTGCCATAGTGAGAAGTATCTGTCCAAAAATCCAAAGGGCTTCTTTAATTATAGGCTTGTTGAAATAATGTGAGTTTACAAAAGCTGTTTTCATCTGATATAAGTACAAAGCCAGCAATGACCACTTTCTTTATTATATTTTTAGACACCATTGTTTTAAGGATTGAAGGACAATGTTGACCACCATAGACTTAAATGAGTTGAAATTGGGTTCAAACTGACACAGGTTTAAGATAGGTACAAATAATATATATAATCCAATTTCTAAATTAAATCTAAATAAATATTTTTTTTCAGATAGATGTATTGATAATGCCATGGCAGTAATTTGTCTATCCATTTAATTTACAATTTTGCCAGCTACAACAAAGATTACCAATGAAGTATATTTATTTGGTAAATTTTGGTGCCTTTGGGGTTTAACTGGTCCATCCCACCGACTGGATTTTGAACATCTTTATGTCTTTAACTAAGAACACTTTTTGTTAGTTTACATTGATTCTTCCTGTAGTATTTTTTCCCTTTTGCTGTAGCAACAATACAGCCCAGTTTTTTTTTGTTTTTTGTTTTTTTCCAAACTAAAGACTTGTAAGATTTTGTCTGCACTGTGTAACTTTTCTAATAGGAGGTCTGTCCTGCTCGTCTCCATGGAAATTTTACTGATTTTCCCAGAATGTTGAACAGCATTCAATTGCAGGTGTTACTTAAATACCACACAAAGCTTGCAGCTTTCTTATTGTGAGTGGGGTCACTTCTCAACAGACTTATACTGGTGGCTTGTCTCCTTCGGACAGGTATGTTAAATGCCACACTGTGGAATATTCTGGGGAAAATAATATCCTCTTTGTAGATAGCAGGTGGTAAACCCTCCATCAGAAAAGTTACATAATGCACCTTTATCAGAAGGGATTGCTGGCATTGGATACTGTTTTTGTTTTTTTGCAAATCTTCTATCTCACAGTGTGCGGAGATTTGTTTGATTTAATGGAGCAGCGGTTTTACTCCAGATGCCCTTCCTGCCTCAAAATTCACATTCACAATATCACAGTGATGTAGTAATGTTAGATATAATGGCTAATTGAGAACTTCTACTGCCATATCCTGGACAGAGAATCTCTATTTCTTTCTAGCGCACAATATTTTCAAGTAAATAGTACTAACTCTGCACTTTAACTGGAGTAATGGACATGATCAAATGTGGTCTGTAGAAGATTTATATTAGAGAGCTAGATCAAGTAGGGTCTGTCAGACCCAAAATCCCACCATAGGAAGAAAAAAATAAATAAAAATTTCTCTGTCCTCAAATGGTTGTGATTTAGGCTGCCGACACCAGGTCTCTCACTGGATCACTGCCACCAGAGAATGCATGGACTGTATTAAGACAATTTTTTATTTGGTTTCACTAGAACAACTGACTGACGTGTGATCTGACTGAAAATCCCACCATTTTTAACCATGCCTTCATCTATGTGTGCAACGGTTTTGTATTATTTTGCTTGTAGCTGAATTTGAAGTACCAGACAGTCCATTTTCAAGAATAAAGCTGGTCTTTGTTCCAGGAGAATGGCCATATATGTAGAGAAATATATTGCCAAAATAATATTGATTATAGATGACTGAGCGAGTTGAGAGTTGTATTTTATTCTTAAATAGAGCCACTGTATTAAATTAAGCAGCAGCACAAGGTTTAGCTCATTAGCTAACTTAAGTGAAAAACAAAGAGGATGTCTTGACATTTTTGTGCAATATAAAAGCAAATGGTTTCAGTGTGTGTAAAACATTACCAAAGTGTAAAAAGTGCAGACCCATTTTGGCATTCCAGTTCAAAACCCTCTCATATAATATTATTTAAAAAAAAAAAAAAAAAAAAAAAAAAAGGGTGGTGGTGGTGGGTAATTTGGTCAGAGTTCATTATTCACACTTAATCATTTTGCACACGGAAAATATGTCAAGGCACCTCTTATGTGTTACTACTGGATATGAAGTCACTAAATGTGATGGACCAACTAAATTATTTTTTCACTAACAGTAAGTTAGGATTATTTTGGAAAATACTTATTTTTCATAGTGTTTTCCTTTGTTTATGTGGATTTTTGCTGTCTGATGTACAGCTATAGTCTTATGGCTTTTGCTTGATGCCTTTTTTAAGATCTCACATTAGTTTTAGTATGAAAAGGCTGGGCAAAACACAGAATGTATGACTTTAGAGCAGTTATTTTTTGCCAAATCTCTTATTTGTTTCTTTTCACCACCATTGTTCGCCTGTTTGTTCTTGTTTACACTGTAAATTATTTTGCATTGTTGCTTTTATTTTGAACCCAGTTTGAATTCCTGTTGTGTTTGGAGTTCTGGAGACTTATGAAGACTGAGTTATGATTGTTGTATTGTGATAT